ACATGAATCAAATATGTATCTTTATTCATTTACAATAAACTCATAAAGTACATCATTCTGATTGAAGCTAAGGGCATACAAAACTGTCTAACACATTGATGGGAAATGTTTCTGAACTGATCCATAGCAGCTAACCAAGAGTGAATGGAGCTTCTGCTCTTCTTAATTAAATCTTCCACTGAACAGCTTCGATTTTGGAAAATTCTCTGATTCCTCTCCTTCCAAATACACCATGACACAGCAGCAGGAATAATACTCAAAAGCTTCTTTCTTTTCCATTGAGTCATTTTAGTGTCCAGGCATACAGATGGTCTGTAAAACTATCTGGTGTACACCACCAGGTCACCAGGACAGACTGAACAGGCTGCAAAAGTAGTGGGACATCCATCTCACCACAGCACAGTGCAGAAATAAATGCAAGGATGTTTCTGTCTTTCTCACATAGAACACAAACTTCTAGAAACATAGGTTTCTTTAACTTGGAACTCCATCATCTCCACATCAATGAAGGCATGCAATTACTGAATTCCAACTGAGATATTGAAAACTTGGTTATTGTGTAAGTAATACCCCTACCTTGAAATAAACAAGTAAATAAAAGATGGAGGTTTGGGGTCAGCAGCCCTGAAGCACAAATATTGGGTATGTTTCCTGTATAAAGCTTGTATGATTTCATATTTATTGTAAGAAACCCATATTAGGACATTAGTTTTGCCCTGGCTTATAAACGACAATATTAGTCACTATGTTACTTAATAATAATATTATTATTACTACAACAAAGCAGGTTGATGGTGTTTGTGCTAATTTGGTTTTCTACACTTCCCATTAGCTCCCAAAAATGTTCTCATACAGCACCATTCATTTAATCTACTCAATTTCTAGAACACCATTATGTCCATTACTAGCTTAAAATTATGTTAAAGTTACTAAACTTACTGGGATAGAATGGCTCGTAGTCAATCCCACACATATAGCAAGACCATCTTTGCTGCAAATCCCAAGTCCTTGGTTGTACTTGTAGCTGAATGCAGCATCAACACCAAATGCTGCAACCACACGAGGAAAGAAAGATCATTTGCAAAATAATGAAAAAAGAAAAGAGACAAGTTTCTCAAACAAAATTAAATTTAGGCCCAGCAGTGTATGAGCATTTCTATAGGTGGTGAGCCAACAAAAATTCATCCACATAAATATGTAAAATGGAGATTTTTCCATTAAAAAGTATAAGATAAAGAACATAGGCCATAGTGGACCATGTAATGTCTAGACAATTAGACATCATTATTCCTCCTCAAGATATATTTCTTCATTGGTAATAGTTAATTCTATTAATGAAAAGATTAATAAAAACATACGCATACAATACACACATAGATTGAAGTAGTGAAAAGTGCTTTAAGGGCTTATAATTTAACAATGGATATGGCACTGAACAGAACAGGATTCATGTAGTTGACCCCATATAGTTGGGACAAAGCCTGCTGATGATTATGAGCCCAAGTACCCAAAAAAATACCATTCTAACATGACAGAATATTAGAAAAGACCGACAAGTAACCATTAAATGCATCAATACAAAAATAAACAAAAATGAATACAAGAAATTCCAGCATGGAGAGCCCCCAGAATGTCTCCCAAATCCTCGTGCCAATATCTGCCAGGGAATTACCAAATTTTAAAACTATACCTGACTGGGCATTTGAATGGTTCAACCAGAAGAGGACATATCCAGTATAGACCAGGTCAGTAAATGAAAGAGGGTTGAAATTTTGAAATGAGTTGGATCCAGTCTGTTGACATTTTGGTTTACTCACCACTCTGGTTTTTAACAAATCAATCTAGGCAAACAGCTGAATAAGATCATATTTATCAACATATAGTTAAAATGAATTTAGGTATCAGAAGATTCGACAGCAACTCATACCCAGTGATGGTACTCCATAAGTTTCAAAAAGAAGTTCTGCCATTTTACTGCGAGATTGAACTGGATTGCATACAGATTCTGTAATCAGGATAGGATGATCAACCTGTTCTGCATCAGTTAAACAAGACAATAACAAAATCACCTCATGAAGGATGATCAACCTATTCTCAGAACAAGGAAATTAATTATATCAAATACTAAGACCTACAACAGAGATAAATAAATTACACATATGCAACAGAAGACACATGACACATCATGGACACTTATGACTATGGTACAACCGTACAAGTTGTGTGCAGGCCATTGCATGCTCTCGATGCACTGAATTATAAGTAAGCAGTTTCACATGAAACATGTTCAAAGAGACAATTATTTACCTCCCAAGCACATTATCATGGCAACGTTCATTTGCAATCAAATCTGAATCGGATACAAATTTTGCACAGGTTCAGTTTTGAATTTGTTTGTTTGACTATGATTTACACTCTTACCTGATGCAAAGTTAGTACTTTTTGTCTCATTTGCATCCATTAGCAATGCAAATTTTGCAACTGAAAAACTGATACAAAATTTGCACCACTTCCTCCTACCTCAATTCTCTCTCATATAAGTGTGGACCACATCAATTTTCTTTCTACCTTACTACCCCCAAATAAATAACCTTCCGCTTCATTTCTCTTTCATATAAATTGAGCACCACCTCATTTTACTTCCTATTTTACTTCTTACAAGCAAACAAAGCAAGGTTAAATCTGAAGCAAAAGTAAACTGGGATTTCCACTCAATCCATTTGCACTCCTATGCATTTACACCAGTGCAAATGAAATTCACACTGCAACCAAATGGAGAAGAAGTGGTCTTTCAAATGTTGTGCATCCAGCAATACACTATTTGAACAAATTTGTTTTTTGAGGAAAAGCAGTTACTATATACCCACAGTACCCAAAGCGATCTAGCATTGTTTAATTAGGATAGCTCTCTTAAGAAGGGCCCGAACCTCTATTTCATATTTGAACAAGTTCACTCAAGCAACCAAAACATGGCTCGGTTGAGCATGGTTTAAATAACAAGGACCCAGTGTTAGCTACACTAAGCCCTTTGATGAGGGGAAAAAATTAGATCAGCATCCAGCCTTGATACTGCATGAAATAGACACAAATTGTGTTTCCCAGAACAATTAGGAAAGCAGTATTCACAATAGAAATGAAATACAGTTTTTTTTTCTTTGCTTTTCAATCAAATTTACAATGCCAAAAAATAGGAAATCCTTAATTACCTTTGATCCATCTGCACCCATTCGCTCAAAACCAAAGTCAAGAACCTACAAAGGCATGAGCTATTTTATGAGGTTCAAAATTAAATGCGAAACACTGCAGCTTTATTTTCTATCACAATCTCCATGGTTTCAATTACTATTGCATTCAATACCATCATGTTGGGATATGTAGAGAATAACAGTGTTCTGCCTCCTGATTAAAGTACTTTAAACACCAAGTTTCCAAAATGACATTATACCAAATTAAGATAGGTTTTGTGCCAAAAGCAACTTAAAAACTTAAATGATTTTATTGGGAAGAAAAGAAATTTGGCAATTTCAAGCCCCTCCCCTCTCCAAAAAAAAAAAGAAAAGAAAGAAATACCACCACCCTAGAAGGAAATAAAAGAAAACTCTTAAAATGCATGGATCTATGAATGGTTTCAACATTTTCATTATGCATATGCATTTAGGTGGGTGAGTCTAGTAGTCGAAATAATGCTGATTTATCAAAATCTGTCTATTTGTTAGTTTTTCTTTTTCCTTTAGGCTCTTAAAGGTTATCCAAGAGATCTGGATTATTATCTTGAGGAAAGAGAAAGAGTTGGAAGTAATGGCAACATGCAAACATGCTTTTGATGTGAGGCAGAGGTTTGGGATCAAGGTTGGAAAACCTGATTTCGAAGGAAACTCCAGTGATGCATGCACAGAAGCAGGGAAAAATCTATGGAGAAAGAAATTGGTTTTCTCCAAAGATCTTATCAAGTAGCTATTTTGTAATTTTCTTGTATTTCATACTTTGGCTAATCAGAGTCTTTTATATTTATTTTCTAATTTCTTAGTGTCTCAGGAATAGGGTTAGTCATTTTGAAGGCCATATTAATAGTCCTATTAGAGAGTTTCTTAAATTCAGAAAAGTTGAATATGATATCACATCATGTTTCTTTCAGACTATTTTCAGAGGTCAAAATTTGTTTATTCATGGAAGCCTATCCTTTCTGCTGTATTTGGAATCCATGGAAAGGAGATCGATATAAGAATCTTTGAGGATAAGTCAAGTCTACTCCTGAGTATATATATAGGGCATAGTTGTCAAGGCATCACCTAGGCGACTAGGCACCCTTGGCTGGGCACCTCGCCCAAACGCCTTGACTTTTAGCAACTAGGCACCCTTCTAGGCGACAAAAATGACAAGGCGTCCGCCTTTTATAATATCATTTATATTGCTGCATCTTATTAATGAATGTGTTAATACATTTTATTATATGCTATATATATATATAGAAAGATCAAATACTTTAAAAGATCAAAGGATTTTGAGAAGAGAAAAAGAAAGAAAGAAAGAAAGAAAAGAAAAGAAAGAGGAAAGAAAGAATAGACTAATAAAGTGCTTTTTTTTCTATTCGCTCTCTAATTAAATAAAACAGAAACTCCATCCTTGTTTTTTTTTCTATTTTACTTTCCATCTTGAATATTTATCATATAAAGTTAATAACCTTCTTTAGCTGCTAATTAATATGAATTTGCTCTATTAAATACTTATTATAGTAGTATTATTTTTGAAAATAATGAAATTAATATATGTAAAAGATTTTTATCTTTTAGGTGTGATGATTTGCCACATTTTTAGAGAAAATTTTAATGTTCTTAATAAAGAGAATTGCTATTTTTTCAATTAACATACATGCTGAATGGTATAAAAAACCAGGAAACTAGCCAAAAGTCAGTTTTTTATATTATAAAATTTTTATCGCCTAGGCGACTAGGCACCCCAGTGTTGCCTAGAATCACATAGACGCCTTGAAAACTATGATATAGGGACATTTGTTTTCCTACTTAGAATCTATCCTGTTGGCATAAAAGTTCAGGGAAATGAAGAGGATCTATACCAGAAGGGAATAGGGAAAGGATTGGGAAGCATTTGTATTCTGGAATAGGGGGAGTGATAAGAGATGAAAAAGGGAATCTGTTAGCTATGTATTCTGGCCCAATTGGGGTGGGAGACTCCTTGAGGGCTGAGATATTAGGAGCTCTTGAAGGCGTACAAAGGGTCAAAGACATGCATATTAAGAAATTGATCATAGAAGGTGATTCTGAAATTGTAGTGAACTGGTTAAAAGAGGACAAATCCAAGTTCTGAAACTACAACAATGAAAAGAGGAAATTTAAGTGGCTGAGTAAGGACATGGAAGTTAGCTGTACATGGGTAAAGAGAAGTGCAAACTCATTGGCAGATGGCTTAGCTAGGCAAGGGGTGAACAGAAACTCTATTTTTTGGGCTGTTTTATAATTGGTTACAGTTGGGTGTACATTGATGTATTAGAGAGTAAAGTTTTTTTAGCTCCTTATTTATGTACTTTCTCAATCTTTAATAAAATTCACTGTTATTGATCCAAAAAAAAAAAAAGGATTGGGAGGCATTTGTGTTTTTTCTTGTATTCTGTTTAGTAGATTGGGGCTTCTTTTTTACATTTCTATTATTGGACCCTAGGTATAATGGGGTGGATCCTTTTTATTTTTTTTCACGTCTTTGTAATCTTTGTAAACTTTATATTGAATAAAATTGCACATCATCTACCACAGAATTTGCACCATCATCATCATCCAAGCCTTATCCCAACCATATGGGGTCCGCTACAAGAATCTTGTTTCACCAGTCCATTCTGTTTAATGCCATATACATTGCTAAACTATTGGCATTTAAATCATTTCTTACTACTTCTATACATGTCCTTTTTGGTCTACCCCTTGCCCTTTAGCCCCTTCAACCAAGGTTAAAAATTTCGATACGTATCAGTGGCCTCCCGATACACGTGACCTGGTTCAGGGGGTAGACGGGCCTTAAACCAACTTCTCTGAACCAGTTTGAAGGGGGGAAAAAACTAAAAAACAAGAAACAAAATCTTACAAAAAAAAGTGAGCAAAGATACAGGCCGATAGCCCCATCCAGCATATCAGCCTGTATCAATATTTTGAACCTTGCCTTCAACTTGTAACAAATCACTTTCTCACAGGTGCCGTTAATGGTCTTCTATGCACATGACCAAACCATCTTAGTTTACTTTCTCTCATTTTATCAGCTATTGGAGCTACTTTCTCTCATGTTAATATTATTTTAGTAACAGTGAAATGTGGTTATATGTTAATGAAGATAGGCCCACCCTTATGATGAGCATTCAAATAAAAATGAAACTCAATAGGTTTCAGAGAATGGCACAATTGGGAAAGTACAAGTTTTCATGCACAGAAAGAGTATAGGGTGCCCAGTCCCTGCTTTCATATGATGGGCGGGTAAGTAAAACATGTTCAGAACACATATCTGACCTTGTGAAAGTGGTGGACCACATGCGCAGATTAGGTTAAGGCCCAGAATAGGAATTTGTTATCAAAAGTACACATTGTATATATTGGATTTTTCATTTTATCAATAATATCCAATATTATAACCGTTTCTAAACAAACATTAAAAAAAAAAATCAAGTTTCATATTCTATCAATGCATGGTTCTAATCATTGTTGACCTTTTTTTGTATCTAGCCAGAAGGGGAACAGGTTCAGACTGCACAATCACTGTATATGGGCCATTTAATGTTTTTGTACATCTTTTGAAAAGATCATTTTCAATGTAAAACAAACAAGTGGAGTTGGTGTTTTTCTCTTAAATTTACCAACAATCAACAATAAAGACACAAACAAGATTGAAGTTTGGGTATCATGAGGGCTTTCTTGAGCTTATGGTAATGAATACTTCAACTGAAATTTTCCTAAATTTAACTGATGTTAAACATATATGTGACATAAAGTTCAACATTTCTTGTATAATTTCCCTTAATACCAAGATCTGAGATATATCAACCAAAATGTTGTTATTACTCCATCAAAATTGATGTAATTCCAGGAGTTCTTTCAGTAGACATTGTGGAACCTTAAAATAGGAAAGTTTTGTAAAATTCACGGAAACTGCATTCCATGTTTGAAGTTAAATGAGTGCAGCAGCAGAAGTCATGATGAAGATGGGGGCAATGATGATTTTTTTTTTCAGGAAAAGAGGTGATGGTGATGATGTTGACAGTCACAACAATAACAGAAAAAAAAAGTTGGTTAGCATAAGTAAATTTCCAATGCAAATCATTTAGAGGCCAAAAGCAGGTTTCAATATCAGAGCAAGCAAATATTAACAACTATGCTTACAAATTCTTTCCCCCAAAAAACAACACACTTACATATTCCATTATTTCAAACTGATAAACAACATTGCTATCAAAGGCTGAACGATATGATGAGCGTGTACAATCAAAATATTTCATCAATGCAGGATCATGGTCACCAACAATAGTAACAGTTTCACCTGAAGAGAGAAAACATAGACTAGTTAAAAGTGTAGGTAAAGCAACCACAATCTCTCCCCCTTCTCAAAGCACAGACAATTTTCCATGGCGTATGTAAATAAACTAACCCAACAGGACCGACACTTTTGAAGGCAGAACAAGAAGCAGACATAAAGGGAAAAAAAGTCCACTTTCCAGATTATCATGTAAAATTCAGTTATTTGATGCCAAAAACTCAGACAATTCTCTTTCAGAGAAAAAGTGTATATTTGCTAAATAGAGGGGCGGCAACCATATTATATGTATGCTATAAAAGAATATATTTAACAGATTTACAAAGAAGAAACTGAAGTGATCTCCATGGTTAAGAAATCACAGCTTTAAGAAGTAATATAATTTTAGCAATGGCCCCAAAAGTAGCTATCTAATCAAGTCCTTTAAATCCTTAAAAATACTGGAGGAACAATGAGCTTCTGATTCTATTGATGGGATTGTTAAATGTTAACTAAGCACCATTCATCCTCAAAAACCTGAGTGCTCCTTTCTTTCAAATACACAATCATAAGGGAAAGAGAAGCATATTCAAAGGGAACTATCCAATATAAAAGCCCCTACCAACCACTTTTTTTGCTAGTTCTTGGAAATTTCCAGATATGTTGCATCCTAAATACCATAAAGTACTTCATGATTTACATGAAAACTCAGAATGTGAAAGCAAGTATCATCAGATTCATCACTATGGATATGTTGACCTACTATTAAGTGGTAAAACAGGTGGTTCCCACATGAAGAAAACTATGTCACCATAGTTGTCAAGGCAACACTAGGCAAGGGCAACAAGGCGCCCATGGAGAGTCAACCTTGCTTAAGCGCCTAGCTATTTTCTACATGGCGCTGTAAAATCTTTTATGTTCTTTATTTTTTGAGATTATAATAATCAAATAAACATTATTACGCTAAGTTATTATTTTGTGGATTTAATACTAATTTCTTTTTGTTATTTTCATATCTTTCAGGGTTCCATCAACACACATGTTGGCATATGCTTGAAGATTTCAGAACCAATAGTAAGGAAGAACTTAAATGTTGTCCAATCAACACATTCTTCTTCCACCCTTTCTTTTTTTTTTTTTCTTTTCCAAGGACAAAAAAGGAGCAGAGCCCCTATATTTTCTGAATTTTCTTTTCTTTCTTCTTTTTCTTCTCATGAATATGTTGATTTTCTATCTTTTAATATGAAGGTTATACTTTTAGGAAAATCTATGATACCAGAAGAGTATTGACCAATCAAAATCCACCTATGAATGTTTTTTGATCAATCCACCCATGAATGTTAATGACAACCACCTGATTGGTTACCACTTTTATGATTCCGGTTGATTTATTATAAGTTTTTCCGGTATCATAGTCAAACCCTATGCTTCTTTATAAAGATTATTGACACTAGTGAAAAATGACTGCTGGTTTCCATAGAACCTAAGGAATTACCCTAGGATTCAGGGTTATAATTAAAAAAAAAAAATCACCTAGGCAACATCTGGACACTCCCCTGTCACCTAGTCTTGCCTTGGCAACTTGAAAACAATATATGTTTTTTATGTGATGATAGAGGCAGCACATAAGCTTTAATAATGATAAAAGAAAAAAGTGCTGATCAAAAAAATGATAAAAGAAAAAAGTGGCTCTCTGACTTGAGAGGGGTGGTCTGGATATGGAGCATTTGACATTTTTTGCACACAGTGGCCACTCTCAACCTTGAGTCCAGGTTTTCACACTTGTCAGCCCAAGATTTTACAATAGCACCAAGCAGTGGCCCTATACTAATACTCAAGTCAATTCAATAAAGCCTTGTCCCAATCATATGGGTCGGCCTGAGAGGAATTTTTCTTCTTTAGCTTCCCTCACCCCCCCCCAAAAAAAAGGCATTTATTCTAACTTTTACCTTATAGATTTCTGTTGCAGGCTTGCAGCCAGTGAGAAAGAGGTTATCACAATACTGAAGTTCCTCTCTCAGCCCACAAACTGTGATGAAACAAAGGCAGACAAATTTGAAGTACATAAATGGGAAAAATGGAAGGTTCTTTTATCATCTCTTCAGTTCGTAATTTTTGTTTATTCATCTTTTTTCTTTTTTCCTCTTTCTATCAAATTTTATTTTATGCTTGCTGTTTCTTTAAAGCTTTCAAGTTTCAATGGAGAGCAGCCTCGCTCTCGCAAAGGTTTTGGGAGTACGGAAACTGCACAAAGAGCTTTTACTGGTAATGTTTCATAGTAGACAATTTTCTGAAAAGGTTTTAGAGGAAGAGAAAAAAAAAAGGTAAGAGACTTCAATCTGAGGCTGGATAGATGGTTGCCGGCGGCTGGGGAACTGGTAGAAGGTAGGCGGAAGGGGACAGTATGGATAGACATTGTAGGGATCCCACTACATGCATGGTGTATCAATACATTTGAGGAAATAGCTGCCGCATGCGGAAGATTCATTAGGATGGATGACAGAAATAGAACTTGGGAGAAAATGGACATGGTGAGGATACTAGTTGAAATCGAAAACATCTCTAACATCCCAAAGAGGCTGTGCTTGGGTTTTGCAGGTGAATGGTACGATCTGAGGTTGTTTGTAGAGGGGGAGTAGATGGTACCTACTGTAGAGCTGAGAGGTATCGAGGGGCAGAGGCAACCCAGGACAAGGAGGAGGAAGGAGAGAGGAAGAGTGCGGAAACAGGGGAGGAGATGAAGAGGCCGAAGGAGACAAAGAGACGAAGGGAAGAGGAAGAAGATGATGAGGTGGCAGTATCATTAAGAAGAAGGAGACGCATGGAAGGCAAGAGTGAGGTGGCAGTTCAGCATAAGGGACACTTGAAGGTTATTGAGCCCGGGATAAGTAGGAGGAGAAAGTGATAAAGAGGGGGGGCGATTCGATGGGGAAAGAAACTGGCACCAGCCAGGGTTAGGGAGGAAGGTGTTAACCGCTTTAACAGGTTAGCGGTAAACTTTAAAACAGGGAACAGTAAGAAAGAAAGGGAGAATAAGGGGGGTAAAAAAGGAAAAACAGGCCTAATTTCGAAGAAATCCAGTTTCGAATGATTGATATCCAGGAAACAAGATAGCACTGAGCACAATGAAGAAGAAAGCGGAAATTGGATCTGGGGGTGACCAAGTATGAGAAGGGAAGAAAGTTTAAGATTCTAGGCAGCGAGGTAGACAAAAGAAGAACGACAAGCTCGGCGGCAAAAGAAGAGGTGCATAGAACAGATACGGAAGAGAAGCCGGTGGAGTCAGAAGGAAGTAAAGAGCCAGAAAGCCAGAACGACGAAAAAAGTTTCAGACTCCAACTCCAAGAAAGAGGGTTATAAGGAAGAGAAATCTCAAGGAGAAGAGGAAGAAGAGTCAGAGACATCAGGGAAGTTGCACATTCAAGAGGGGGAGTGTCTCTCGGTCAACCAGGATTCGAACCCTATAGAGAATACAGAGAAGGAATTAGAAGGAAGGAAAGAAAAGGAGTATGGGAGTGCCGATTCAAGCATCATGGTATCATCGCCTAGATTTGAAGAGGTATGTCAGCCTGGAGTGACGAGCATTCTAGTGCTAGAAACTCTAATCAGAGAGGAAGGAGAAGAAGGAAATGAAATATAAGGAGGGACAGGGGAGAAAACTTCAGTGAAGAGACCTCTGAGAGAGGAGGAGAAAAAGGGTGGAAGACGAAATAAGGTTTACAACAGAAAAAGAAGACCTAAAGACTCTTCATAGAGATTAGAAGGAGGGGAACAAAGGGGAGAAGATGAAGGATCAGTGATTGGGGAAGGGAATGGAGAGAAAGATAAAGAAGAACAGATACAAAAGGATCACGAAGCTGAGAAAATAATACAAACTGGGAAGGTAAGTATTAATAAAATGGTGGAGAGGGAGGTGGAGGTCGGAAAGTCTCTCGGGCTAGTCTTCTGGGGAGGGAAGGCTTAGAGAAAATAGCATTTGAAAAGTTTGAAAAAAAAAAGAAAAGAGAGGAGAAAAAGAAGAGGGAAGAATATCTAGAAAAAATAAAGGGGTGGGACGAGGAGGGAGGAGAAGAGGAAGGGTTGGACGAGCTCGAGTAATTTGGGGGGAGGGGGAGGAAGATGAGGATTCTTAGTTGGAACGTAAGAGGGCTGAGAGATAGAAGGAGGAGGGAGGTAGTAAGGAACTTGCTCCGAAGCTTTAAACCAAAGGTGGTTTTACTCCAAGAAACAAAATTGGAAAACTTTGATATGAAAATGAAAAAAGAAATATGGGGGGAAGAGGGAGGAGAGTGGGTGGAGCTTAAAGCTTCAGGTCTGTCAGGGGGAGCTGTAATTATATGGAATCCAGGGATCTTTAAAAAGGTTGGGGAGGATGTTGGAGTGTTCTCAGTATCAGTATGCTTACAAGTAGTAAATGGGGATTGGAGATGGGGTTTAACAAATGTGTATGGGCCAAATGAGGAGGGGGAGAGGGAGAAGATGTGGGAAGAATTAGAAGGGTTGAGACAAAAGTGGGATGGGCCTTGGTGTGTGGGTGGGGATTTCAACATGGTAAGGAGGAGGAATGAAATGAAGGGTAGAAGGGAGAGAAGAACTTCTGAAGGTATGAGGAGGTTTGAAGAATTTATAACCAATAATGAGACGATTGATCCACCGTTGGTTGGAGGGAAGTTTACATGGTCGAATGGCCAAGTTCCAGCCACTCTCAGAAGGCTGGACCATAGTAGGCGACTAGGCGGTTTTCCATGGGCGCCTTACCCAAATGCCCCGGATTTTGTATACTAGGCACCCGCCCAGAGACTTAAGCGGGCGCCTAGGCGACTAGGCGGGTGCCTACATACATCTAAATTTTTTTTTAATTTGTTATTTTGATATTTTATTAGATGTTTTATTCTTTTAAAATAAAACCGGTTACATATTATCATTATTTTATTATTAAGACAACAATACAAAGCCTTTTTCTTCTTCTTCGGTTACATGCATAAGAGTTTTTTCGGTTCGATTGGAGAGGGAGGAGAACCGAAGAC